AATTATTTTTTTTTAGTTTAGTCTTGAGCTCTGATACTATAGTAAAATGATTATATTTTATAATCATTTTAATATGATAATATTTTTGAGATATCAACTTTTAAGAATGATTAGATAAGTGATCAATAGAAATTTTATCAATTTTACATAATAAACTGATATATTGCTTATAGAATCATAAGAGAATGTCCAATCACTGGAAAATTTTCTTTGGATTTTGAATATTTTATTATCAGCATGAGTTAATGGCATATTGTCATGCTTCAAGAGGGATTGATACTATTTTAAAATGTAAAAACAAGATATAAACAATACTAAAAGTCATTGTTTACATGTTGTTTTTTAAAATGGTGTTCCACTTCCTAATTTGGTAATATAAATATTGGTCAAAATTGAAGAGGAGGAAATAAAAAAATATAAGTGGCATTTCCATCACCAATCTTTTCATTGGGTACTGTATGTCACTCTGTTCTGTAGTTTTAACTTCAGACTTGAATACTATTCAAATAATAAAGTTATAATTGAAATTATTCAATTCACATTTTATTTTGTTTATAAAAATAAACAATAATCTTTCAGAGTATTGAATCAACTTGGACTACCCACATGAATTTCACAAAAATGTCTAAATCTTATGGAGCAATTTTTAAAGTATATATGGGACAATTTACTTAGATTGTATCAATGATCATAAGATAGCAAAGGATTTATTCGTCTTGCGCATTTGATTTCTTTTAATAATTATTTATCCAGTGTAAATCACTTATTAAGTTCATTGCAGAATAATAGCCGGTGGAAAGCAATGAGATTGTTCGAGTCGCAAACAATCCATCCTCACATAATCGAAGATGGATATTTTCCAGTAATATGCAAAAATTTTTACAGCAGTTGTATTTGAATTCTCTAGGCGAGAATACTGCTCAAAAATCCTACCCCAGGTATTCACAAAAATATTAATAATCGTATTTGGTGATTTGGCAAATGACGCTGCTATTTTAGAACGTTATTCTTGTTTGATAACAAAGATCTTTGAATTTGGAGATATCAAAGGCAATCTATTATCAATGTTTGGCTAGCTACGATTATCTTGGTTTACAAAAATCTTCGAGAAAGAAGTACTACAATTAGTCGCAGAAATAAACGAATTTTCGAATAGCTAGCTTGCTACAACAAATCAAGAATCGAATGATCGAAAACGGGCCTAATTCAGAAACTTGTTTTTCCGTCGAAATATTAACAATCTACCCATCATTCATCGACTCTCCATATACACACGAATTTTCAAAAGACGGAAATGGAAAATATATATTTGATATCTATGATGTACTGGCTATGTGTAATGATTTAATGCTTGCGGGAACTTCCACAACAAATGATGCTTCATGTTGACATTTTGCAATTTGGTCCAATCATTTTAAAATACAACATAAAATTCAACAGGAATTGGATAGAGTAATTGGTAAAAGAAACTTTTATACTATGGATCATTATTCAGACTTGCATTATTTGAAAGTTACTATAAAAGAAAACTTATGATTTAGGTAAGAAAAGTTTGATTTCTCTTAACGAAATTTCAAAAAACAGGACAGTAATAAATTTTTTAAGTACACCACCTTGCACTTCTCAAGATGAAACTTATAATGGATATCATATTCCCGCAAAATACTGAGTCGTAATCAATTTCAATGCGATCCACACTAACCCTGAATAGCCAGATGAATTTCGCCCTGAGCGATACTTGGATGATAATGGACATTTAAAGGAATATAATGAGATGCCCGATCCATGGGTAATTTTTAATTAAAAATTATGTTCATTTATACTAACTAATCAATGATATCCTTTTAATAGTCATTTAGCCGTGGACGTCGTGCGTGCATGGGAATCAATTTGGTTTATTGTAATATGATTACAGTTATAGGCCACTCATTAGCAATATTCGATCTTGAATTGGAAAAAGACTTATTAACTAATGACAAATAAAGATTAATCTTGACGAAGGAAAAGGCCATGATTTCGATTATCTTCCACCAGAATACAAATTAATTTTTAAAGTTCGTGAAGAAGTTAATATTGAAACAGTTTTAGCGTAATGAAGGGGATTAACATAACAATTTCAATATAAACATTAATCATATTAAAGAGTATTACTTTTATAACTTTTAACTTCTTTTGATTTATTAACAACGTTTCGTAGGATTTGATGTTTTATGTTAGTGGGGTATTATTTCACGCACTAATTAATCAAAAATATGTAAGGTATAATAATAATCGATAGAACAGATTTTTTTAATATTTATGCACCTATGTAGATCCAATTATATTAGAATATAAAATCTGTGTATAACGTAATTTGCTTTTAAGTATTATAAAAATTTTTTAACATTAATTAACGACTTATAAATAATTTTTTAAACAGATTATCTGCCTCTTGCTCTCGTTGTCCGTCTGACTGAATTAATAAAGCGGGATCTTGTGGTTTGTAAGCTATTCTGTTTTATTTTCGAATATCTTTCAATTGTTCACCAGTTACTTGAATTTCGTCTATTTTTGCTACAGCAAGACTAGAGATGGGCAAATGTATATACTTGTAATACATATAATGATCTACATGTACATATATAGTAATCAAATACTCGATGTGAATTCATGATATTCACTTTCATTATTATCCTGATATTCGTTTTCATCATTCTCATTACCAGCATAATATTGATCGACATTTATTTCATCATTAATGCTTTTTTTGACAATTTTTTTTATTATTATTATCTGGAGGAATTTGTAATTTATGATTACTATAAATATAAACTAATTTAAAAACGTGCTTACTACTTACCAATTTCTTTTTTTGTTATAAAATATTTGCAAAAGCTGACCAGTTACGTTCAGAAGCTGCAAATGATGTTGGAATTGTTAAGATATGTTGTGCTAATTGTGTTAATTCAGACACTGCTTGTGCAAAATTCGCAATCCACCAAGTAATTGGATCAATATTATCAATGCACTTCCATGCTAATGTATTACTGAAAAGATCTGATTTTGCTTTGTATTGCATAAGTTGACTTCCAGGTGAATTGACATTGAGTGAACTTGTATTAGCAATTTCTGGATTTTCAAAGCTCATACAAAAAATGATCGTTTAACTTCAATTGAGGCATTTGGACATACCGATACACACAGATGTTGATATTTGGGATTGTCACAGTATTTACATTTTGCATGCTGTTGTCAAAATCCAGCAATATGACCAATTTGATTAAAATGTTCCCATATAGAACTTCGAGAAGCCAATATGTTCAACAATAAAGATGTAGATGTTTATCATTATCATTATCGTTATACGTATGTTCTGTATCAGTATAAATGTGTTGGTTTATCATTATTTATTGAGTACAAATGCCTTAATTGGTGATGATTTATGAACTTAACCATAGCATAATTGTGTATGGGACGATATCGGTTAGTAACTATGCGCATAGGCACATCTCTAAGCAAGACGCATTTTAGCTTGTTGGGTAGAATTGGTCATGTTCGGGTGGGTTTTTAAGTCCCACTTATTGAATAGGCCCTCGATTTGCTGCTGGTGAACCAAATTTTGTTTTTAACGAAGTCGCATAGCAGCGGGAATTGGTGAAATGAGGCGGTTGATTCACTAACGAATGAACTGAATTCTTGAAAAAACATTTCATTAGTTAATGCATCCTTAAGACCGAAACTTTCTTTAATAACGTCGGTTTCAAGACACTTTGCATAACAAAGTTCTTTTAGACTAGGAATATTCGGCCAAGGCTTTTTAAATACTACATGCCAATAAAAGTCAGTCGAACATACGCTCATTTTTTAATTTAACCTAATTAACGATAACAAAAACGAGATTTAAAAAGACGTAGCGTTAAAACTATCTCGAAGTTTACAATAAAATTCAACATATAATAAAACAAAAGGCCTTTTGTCAATGTTACGGTTTTAGATTTTCAGTTTTGAAGTCAAATTCGTGGCAAACGTTCATTTTTTAGCTAAATCAATATAATAAAATAAAAGAAGAAATTCTCGTTAATGTAATATCACTAAATGGTTAATTAAAAATTTTAAACTGTTGACTACACTACATTAATTATTTCCACAAAAATTGCTAGAAAAAAATCGTTAGTACACGACTTGTGTCAATTTGTTGAACACTAATCTTTACTAATAAATTACTAGTAGCGACGCAGCAAATTTTGCCAATAAATTTTATGCATACCTTACATAGTTTTGATTAATTAGTGCGTGAAATACCTCAACGGTACGAGTATGGATGGACAGAGTTAATAATTTTTGTCTCTAACTAGTGTTGGGAGAGAAAAATTAGCCGTTTATGCTTATTTGATCTAATTCCTGTGCCTATATCTACGGATATAGTTTTTTGTATGCGTTCAAAAGAAAGAATATAACTGAATGATATGAGAATTGGAATTATTTACAGCGTGGAAATTGAAGGAATAGGAATTAGTGTATTGATAAGATATTTCGAGAAGAAAGAGAAAGAGAATTACGCTTGTTAACTATTAACTATTCTAATTCTATTCGATGCTTTCTAGCCAAAAGCCTTAAACTCTATTAATCAAATCAATTAATTCATGATGCGTTTGCCTTTTCTGGATCAAAGAATCTAACCAATACATTGTCTTTTCTGGCGCAAAGAAACCTAACTAATACGTTGTCTTTCTGGGACAAAGAGCCTAACCAATCTATAATGATTATAATTACGATGCTTTACAAAAGGCGCTTTACAAAGTGTTTTAATATTAAGAGAAAAAATTTTATGCAAGTTTATTTCTTCTACCGTTATTAAAGGCCCGAAAGCTATTCGTTATATACATTTTTTTTGTTAGCTTTTTCTATATCTAAAGAGATACTACTTTAATTCCATTTATCGTTATAATTTTTATTACATTTATAGAACGAGCAGCAGTAAAATAATAACGATAAAGTATGACTAAAGAAAGAGTTGCGTTATACATCGCATGTGATTATCTGAAAAACGTGAACGATTATGCTAAAATATGCAGACTATTGTGCTGAAAAATGTATACAATTGTGCTGAAAAACGGTTCGAATGGTACATTGGGAAAATAGGTTGACCCGTTGTGAAAACTGCTGAAAAATGCGTCAGACTACGTGATCTATTTGTGTTAAGGAATATGTCGAGAAGTATCCTAACATAATTAAAAATCTCGACAAACCCCGAAATCGTAATTTGGCATTCAGGATGCCGGTATTTCGATCATTCGGGATTCGTTCTTTTTGTCGGGGCTTTGAACTGTGCTGGGATTCAAACCAGACCCGAATAAGCTTTTGACTGGACATGTATATCGAAACCATGACGTTAAAATCGCCAACAAGCAAAATCCCAAATAAACGTATCAAAAAGCCAAAATAATCACGATATCGGGATTCGTGCATTCGGGATTCGTGTGTTTGATTATCGTGTGACATAACGACTGGGTTCGGAATTAACGTCATTTCCCGTATTAGTTCCAAAACTAAGCTTCGATAAAAACAAGGGTTACTACTTTATTTAAACGTATTTATCGTTATAATTTACCGGTTTTGAATTGTTTAATCTTAATAAAATTTTCCAATGGCGCGTTTATCGTAATTTTTTTCCTTTGTTTATTATTGTTATCGGTACTAGTCCTTCGGAATTATTCCATGAGTAAAAATTAACATTTATTTATTCTGTCACATGCTGTATGTTAATCAAATTTCCCCAAAAATTTACACACGTTTATCGTATTTTCCCATGAAATTTACACCTCGATTGTCAGAATTATTCCTGGGTAAATTAATTTTTATTTGTTCTGTCACATGCTGTATGTTTTTAATCTTATTTTCCCATGAAATTTACACCTCGATTGTCAGAATTATTCTGGGTAAAAATTAAATTTTTATTTGTTCTGTCACATGCTGTATGTTTTAATCGTATGTTCCCATGAAATTTACACGCGCGTTTATCGTTATCGTATTTTATTTCAAATCTCCTTTGATTACTATCGTTATTGTTATTGTTATTACATAATTTTCATTACGACTCTTGAATTATTAAACTAATAAAATTTCTCCAAAGAAATTTACACGCATTTCTCGTATTTTTTTTCAAAACTCCTTT